CCCCAAAACCCCAAAACCCCAAAACCCCAAAACCCCAAAACCCCAAAACCCCAAAACCCCATTTTTGACTTTAAAATTGAATTCTGATTATTTCTGATCTGAAAGTTCGGGCTTAGCAAGTGTAGGTATGGTAGACTCTGATTTAACATCCTCAGCAAAGGTGATTTGTTTAGATGGTTGAATTTTTGAGGGGTGGGGTTTTTCTTCTGGCTTTTTGAACTCAATTGGTAATAATTTTCATAATGATTTCTCTGGTTTATCGGATTTTGATTCATCTGCAGATTTCTCTTCCTCCTTTGATTTTACTTCTTCGCCAGATTTCTCAAGATTAAAAGTAACGGAAATTGGACAATGGTCACTTCCCATAACCTTATGCAAGATCTCAGCTTTCTCTAAATTCTCTATTAAGCTCTTTGATATCACAAAGTAATCTAGTCTTCCTCCTTTTCCTGTCTTTCTTGCTCCTGTTATTGTGGACCAAAAAGTAAACTGTTGAACTTTCGGATGGAGATATCTAAAGGTATCTATAAATCCTCTATCAAGTAATTTCGTAAAATTATCCCTCTCTTGTGGGGTAAACCCAGCACTTTTACTCTGTCCTTTAGGATTATGGACATCTATTTCTTGATGACCAACATTCATATCTCCTCCTAAAACTACAGGTTTTCCATTTTCTATACTTCTAAATTTTGCTTACTTTCTAAATTCTTAATGAAATCTTGAAAATCAGGGTCCCATTCTTTCACTCTATAATCGAACCTCTCTAGCTTATTTATCCCAGAATTTGGAACATATGTAGTAACCACGTAGAATTTCTCAAATTCACATGTTAAAGTCCTGCCTAAAGAAAACAACTAGAGGCTTACCTTCTTGGTCGTGATTTGGAATCCCAAGGTCGTAGATAACATTCAGAGGTTTAACTATATTCTAAGCGATATGAATACCTTTGGTTAAGATTGCTGAGCCAGAGTATCCCTTTCTCTTCTTGGAGAAATTCCAATAGCAATCATATTCCAATGGAATATGGTGCCTAATCTTTAGCTTCTTGATACTTTCCTCCGACAGCTTTGTCTCAGTGAGACAAAGTACATCTGGAGAGTATTCCTTAATAAAGCTCTGGAGATCATTTCTACCGATGATTGCTTTCAACCCATTCACATTCCAAGAGCAGATATGAACAGTACTTGATCAGAAATCTTGTGGATATTTCTGCTCCTCAGCAGGGTTTGGCTCTATAAGTCCTTTTGAAGGCTCCTTAGCTTCTTCAAAAGAGCGGTTCTCTGTAAAGATTTAAGAATTTCTTACTCTTGTTCCTCTTCTTCTCATCAAAATATTGAGCTTTGGCTTTCCTCTTTCTTGTAGACATTTGTGTTGTAGAAATAATCCAATTATAAGCATTGAGGTAGGGGTTTTGGGGTTTTGGGGTTTTGGGG